TTTTGGTTTTTCTCCCATACCAGGAACGGAACTCACAACCTTGCGCTTGCCAGGCAGGCGCTTTTGCCGCTGAGCTAAATCCCCAGCCCCATGGTTTGGTTTTTTGAGACAGGGCCTCACCATGTAGTTCAGGCTGGCCTCGAACTCAAGATGATCCTCCTGTGTCAGCCTACTAAGTGCTGGGATTATGGGCATGCACCACTATGACCGGTTTATTCAGTGGAATGGTTTTATAGGTTGGCGGAACCTTTTCAAAATCAGGCATGGGTAAAAAAGATTAATTCTACCGTTTGTTATTCCATCAGTGAGGTTCTATTCTTTTTAACTTCAAAAATGGTTAGGTTTTGATGTACCCTGTATTGAAATGCAAATATCCCTTGAAGGAATTATACCAATCTTTATTAGTTAATATATTAATAAGTACTTTGTGTTTTAGCAGAGATTGATATCAGTGCAACACAGGCCAAAAAGAGAAGGGAAAACAGGCTGACAGCAAAGGAAGGAACATCTCAAAATGAATTATATTTACAAAATTGCTTGTGCTTGCAACTAGCCCTGCTGACCCTCTCTGGATCAGGCTTAGTGGCCTTCTTGAACATAAGGTCAAGCTTCTCAATTTAGGTGATAAACAACATGCTTACCAGCTACTTGCTTTGAGCCTGGGTGTGTTTCTCTTCCTCCCCTTGGTAAACGGATCCACATGTGCTTAGCTTTCACACAGGGTTCAGTGTCCGGATGAAATTTTCACCTAGGACTTTCATTTATGGTACACAGAGAAGTGTAAAACATGGCCCTGGTCATCTTTCTCTTTACCTAAGGCTCAATAAGACCAAAACCATCCCTAATGCTAGAATAGATAGATAGCTGTATTTTGGAAATAAAAGATAAGGGGGCTCTATTCAAAATTTTCTTCTTAGCGGTCCAAAACGTCTAGCCCTATCGCTAATTGAATTAACAGACAAAATGAGTCTTCAATAGCTGAATTGCTGGTACGAAGAAAAGTTATAAATACCAACTGTGACTTCATGGTCAATTGCAAAAACAAAAGCTAGAGCAGCCACCCATGTTTTCTTTCTGAGGATAATAACCGGTGGCCTTGTTCATTATTACTTCATCCAAGATATACTGCTGGTGGTTAATTTTATAGTTTAATTCTTAGGTTACAGGCTGTCCAGGGGAGATTGTTTCTAAACTAAAATAACGAACATTAACCAGGGTCTAAGGAAGGGCCTAAACAAGGGGACTTTTTTTCCCCGGTACCAGGAATCAAACTCAGGACCTTGTGTTTGTCAGGCAGGTGCTTGTGCACCTGAGCTATATCCCTGGCCAAGGGGACTTTTTAATTTCACTTTTTGGAAGGATACTCAGAATGTTTTAATTTGTACAAAGGATCACTGCATTTTGTTAAATGGAAGCTTGTCCAGATTGCAACCGTTGTTTAGAAATAAAAGTACAGGTCAAAGCGTGTGTGCTGATGTGAAATGGCCAAAGGGGTGGACTGCGATAGCTTTGGAGTTGCTTTCAGTTTGTATTCCAAGCTCCTTATAGAAGATCTTATACTGCAGAAGCTGGAGAGTTAAAGGACACGTTTCTGATTTTGTGACTTCGGTTAAGACAGTAGATTGAATATACACACCTAAATTTGCTTCCTCATAAAACCTTTAAAAGGTACAATGAAGAGATTTACTTTTAAAAAATAAACCTTTCAGGGCCAAAAACAGGAGATGAGAGCCGCACTTTGTAAACTGCACAATAGCAGCAAGAAGAATCAAACCAATTTATATTACAGGATTTTTTACATTTTTAAGAATTAATGGTACAAAAAAAAAAAAAAAAAAAAACTAATGGTACTATACTAGGTGACTCTGGAGCCAGGTAAAGGAGACATAATGCTAAGGGAGAAAGGAATTGATCAAAGATGTTTGAGAAGCAATGAGATCCTTCAAGCTACTTCCCCACTCCAGTTGCTCACTGCCCCCTTGCACCCCAGCATAGCCTGTAGGTCTGGTCACTATGGACAGAAAAGAAAGCATAAGAACTGCGGGGGAGGGTGTCAGGTTCTGTATTAACAAGTGGCCCACCCAAGTGTCCCAAATGTAAGTTTCTTTTTTGTTGTTGTTATTGTTTTTTTCTGGTACCGGGAATCAAACTCACGACCTTGCACCTGCCAGGCAGGCGCTGCGCTGCTGAGCTAAATCCCTGGCCCCTCAAATGTAAGTTTCTAAGCTGATAATTTTCCACTCATTTGCTCAGCATTTCCAATGTTTTCATCATTTATTTTTAGTTTTAAGTTTTTCTCCTGCTCAGAATTTCCAGTGTTCTCTATCATTCATTATTTGTTTCTAGTTTTTTCAAGTATTGTTCCTTTTTAGGGTAATACATAGAATTTAAGTGTACAGGTAAAGTAGTTTTGACAAAGGCACACACCCATGTAACTCATACCCCTACCAGGACACACTTTTCTGACACCCCAGAAAATTAGTGCCTTACTAATGGAGACCACTGTGAAGCAGCTCTGAGCAGGACCTAAATTAATCAATTGACTTTTCATGTTCACTTGTGAATCTGTCCAAGGCCTAGGCTCCATGTCTGGAAATGGGCTCATAGTAAATGAACCTCTGTGAGTCACCAACCCCTACTAAGGCCTGTAATGGCAGATGCAGCCAGAAAGCCTCAAGGGATAAAACAAGATCACAGCCAAGGACACTTGGATCCGATCTCAACTAGATGAAGACTGTAGCCTCAGACATCTCACTTCTAGGTAGACTAATTTAATCCTTATTAAGGATTAATTTAGTACCTTACTTAGAGAAGTCCTTGAATGTTCCTCTCCCTTTCTCTGATAACCAAATAAATATAGGCCACCCAGAGAAGGTCGTGGTCTTAAGCCCTGAGAGAATCTCGAATTCTGTGAGAGGGCTTTGATCCTTCTGGAGTCCTGAAATCATTCCATTCACCTCTTTTTCTTTAGCTTTTGCGGTACAGTCTTTCAGGAGGTTGCAGACCTGATCAACTCACAATAACTAAGGGATATTATTAACCTGATACCTTACCTATTTTTTTTTTTTTTTTTTTTGAGACAGAGTCTCTTGCTATACAATCCAGGCCAGCCTGGAACTCACTATGTATCCAAGCCTAACCTCAAATTCACATTTCTCTTGGTTCAACCTCCCAAGTGCTGAGAGTACAGGTGTGCACCACCATACCCAGCTAGTCCCTTACATTAAATCATGAACAGACACCCGAGGACTTCCAGATATCTGAAGAGAAATCGTAATGTGGAAGATAAAGATCACACTGACAAACAAAAAAGCAACTTAGAGGAAAGAGTCCTCTTAGGAAAATAAGCCATATATTATATATAATTTTATTAATTTCCTTAGGAAGAGAGCATATTCTACACACTGACTGCTACAAAAAAAATCAAAAAACAAGGAAGAGCTCTTACAAATTGAAAACAGCCTGTCAGATTAAGAAGAACCTGGGTCCCACACTGTCTGCTATCCACAAAGCATAGAGACTTATGTTAGAAAAGCCTGAAGCTAAGCCCTATGGGGGACCCACGTGCATTCGTGGTACCTTACATGCAGTGAAACTACATGCATAGGTAATAAAGATGAGGTATTAGCAGAAGATATTTCTAACACAAATGGTACGCTGAAGCCTGGGGTATCTGTATATTTTGGCAAGACTCCTGATCTCATATGCCATAGTGAAAAGCAAAACCTAAAAATCTGGCCAAAGAAGAGCAATTCTCCTATGATTAGTTTACATGTTCACATGTTGCGTGTGGATATGTAAGTGTGTGTGTATGTATGTGTGTATGTCTACATGTTTGCATATACACAGAATATGTCTGGATGGGCTATAAAAGGGCATATACTACTTTCTACTTTTTCCTTTCTTTCTTTCTTTCTTTTTTTCCTTCTTTCTTTTTTTCTTTCTGGTGCTGGAATAGGAGCAAAGGCCTCACACGCAAGGCAAGTACTCTACTACTAAGCTACATCCCCAGCCTTTTAATTTCCTTTTATTTACTTATTTTAACTCTACTTGTGTTAGCTATTCAAAAAATGAATTATTGACTAAAATATTCTTTCTTTTCTTTTCTTTCTGCATTTATTTAGTCTTTTTGAGACAGGGTCTCCCTATGCAGTTTGGGCTGGCCTTGAACTCACTTTGTAGCC